TTAGTGAAATATTTTGTATGGTAAAATTATTTAAAGGATGTTAGAGAGACATAGTCCAACACATTGACAACAGAATAATTTATCTTAATTTCAAACAAAATACCTATGATAATTATTTTTATTAAATATTCACAATAATCGTAACATTTTTTAATTTAATATATTACTTTTAAATTATTAATTAATAATGTTACTGAACAGTATTTACAACAAAGAAATACTTTATTGGATTTGAAGGTTTGATGAAACAATAATTAAGTGATCTTAAAAATAAATGTATCACAAAGTAAGGCATCAACAATACATGTGTTGTATATTCAGATAATTTCTTAAGAAACTTAGGATTATGATAATGATTATGCTACTTAAAAAATTAAAATAATTAAACATTTTAAATTATTTTTCTAATAAGAAAGAATGGATTGGGTATGAATGGAAATAAAACTAAGTTTTTATATTTTGAATAAAATATAAAGATTTTTTAGCATTGGTAACAGCTTTAAACATATAATAAAATTCACAAGACACATGTGTTTCATGGTAAACTTTGAACTCTAAATTATAATTTTTTTTTAATAAACCTAATTCTAGGGTACACTTAAATCTGAGAGTAGATTTTAATACTATATAGTTAACTTTAATGTGTATAAAATAAATCAAACTTGTCTACAATGTTTTCTTTGTTTATAGCAAAAAAAAATCAATTTATCATTTGGTTTTTTTAAATACCTATTATCAAAAAAAAAAATAATTACGTTTAATCTTAAATGGTATAAAATGAGATTGCTTCTTATACATCAATTTAATACACCATGTTAAATATTGAATCATTAACATATATTTATAGTAGTGTATGGTAATTTTATTTAATAGTTTAAAACTAATATTTATTATTTATAAAATAAATCTTTGATTTCAATCATTCATCTATATGACTAGATAATTTGCACAAAAAATATGTAAACAACACAGAATAGTTATGTGTCTGATTTAAAATTTAGAATTAAATTTTTTTCACTATAACAATGTTATTTTCAAAAAAGCATATACAATGATCATTATGTGTTTTTATTAAGAAGCATACTCGCTAATGGTAGTTCATTCTACACTATTATAATTGCTGTAATGGTGTAGAAACATAACAGTCATATGGATCAATGGGGATTTATTAAGTACTACTCGTCTTCTAACACTGAGAAGACTTGAAGGGTCACATACATATGATATCTTAGAGAAAGCTATAGATAAACTATACACACATTGTACATTTCAGATAAATTATGTTATTGTACTATATATAACAGTTCTAATTTTGTAAAATGTTTTGAGTAAGATCTATTCAAATTAATATAATTAATAACTATAAAATTATTTATGTTAGTATTGCTTATATTTTTAATTTATATAACATACATCTGAAAATATTAATTTTTTCATTTATATTAATGGAAAATCATGAATTTAAATTAATTTCTCATTAAATTAGTTTGAATTTAACCCTTATTATATTTTTTAGAACATTGGTCATGTACTTGATGATGAAAATACTAAAATTTCTAATCAGTTGCTTCTGAACAATCCAGTATATGTAGATGATGAAATAGAATAAATTTATGTCGTTTATTTAAGTATTCTAAATAATGAAGAATTAGATACTCAGTATATGTTACCCAAATAACTCAAAAACGTAAACGTTACCCAAAATCACTAATGTTGTGCACACACAACATCGGCAACAGCAACAGTGGTAAATTAAAATGAATATATGTGGAAAACCATCCATTGTATAAAAAGTAACATTTTAGATCAAATATTTATTTTGTTTAATTAACAATTTCTGTATAGTACTCTTAAAAGTTTTGTCTAATGCTACATTTAAAAAACAGTCCAGAATCAATTTGCCATGTCAACTGCTTTGCAGAACAAACTAGGGCGCTTGACCAAGATAGCTGATTTAATCAAATAAAATGTTGGCGTTTATTTAATAACACCCAACGAGACCCGTTGGAATTCATTGTATGATGCAGTGGTGTTGCTTAATAAATTAATTAAAAATAATGAACTTAAATTTAGAATTACTATGGATGGACATTTATTATGAGGTTAATACTAAAATAGTAAATAATTTATTAGCTTTGATGCATTTTTATTTCATTGTACATATATATATATATATATTTGTAGATTTAATAAATGACGTTAAATTTTTTAATCAATGTTAAAAAATAATGGGACTAATTTCAATAAGCCTTGATTTACTATAAGGTTATATTTATCTTATATTTTAGTAATCTCTTATCTACTTTTGAGAAGTTAATTTATAAATATGGTCCAATGACATATGATCACACAGTTCCTAATTATATGCAAGGTCTGATAACTGCTATACTAAATGGTTTGTAATAAGAATAACTATAAAGCAAAATAATTTTAAGAGAATTTATCTCAAAATAATATGTATTGTTTATGTAGTGAGAATTAATACATAAATATACTTTATCATCCAAGTATATTTACTATCTTACATATTTAATTATTTTTATTTTAACTAATTTTATTCTATAATATTGGCTAGTATCTTATGTTCCTACTTGTACCAATTTATTATTTATTCATTTTTTTATGCTGAATATTTAATATTTTTGTACACTAATTAGTGTAATAAAAGTAAACTTCACTGATATTAATATTTTAGTGTTACTTTTTTCTTTTAGGTATAGAAACAAGGTTTTTTGATTGTTTAATGAACAAATTTAATTACTGCTTCTGTCTGCCACCCACAGTTTAAAACTGTCTGGTTAAAGAAAGTAAAAAAACAAATGGGCACCGAGTATTTAAAAAATGCCTGTTATAAGTTCCATCAAAAATATTAATGAAAATGATTCTATAGATTATGACCAAATTCATGATTTATCTAGCTTCTTTATCTGGACACAAATTGTATCCTTGAGGATAAGTCAACAGTTTGTGATGAAATTGACAGAATATTGGGTACATCCGCATTAAAAACATTAGAATGTTTACATAATTTACACAAAATTTAAAAAGTAACTTTAATTGGATACTTAGAATAAATATAAGTAGTATAAATTTACTAAAAAATTTGTATTTTGTTTTCAGTTTTTCATTAAATACAACACTCCTCTACCAAGCAGTGCATCAGTTGAGAGTTTTTAGTGTTGGTGATGTTGCATCACCAACACTAAAAACTCTCATCTATATATATATCAATTATATTTATCAAAAATAAAATTTATTCTTTAATTACACTCTATAAAAAAACGAAACTAAAATATGTGTTAATTCAAAATATAAAAATTTTTAACAACATTGTTTCAGCGTTGGACATGAACAAATTCAATAAAACTTAATTATAACAAATAGTTTCTTAATCAATCACGACTTAAAAAAAGTATAATTTTTTTTTAAATTGTTAAAGTAAAACATCAAATGGGTAAAACAACAGAAAATGGGTTCATTAGTGTTATTAATTAACTACGTTTATTTGTAGATGAGGCTAAACGGTTAATTCTATGCCTGTATAAATACGTGTAAATTACACTTCAGTTTAGTTGAGCGCACAACATATTTCATAGGGTCGAACGGTTGTTACACAATGCCTATAGGCTGTAGCGGATGGGCTGCTATGGTGTATTTATCGGTACTTATTATATTGACAATATACAGGTAGTTCCAAATTAGAATTTAGTGGAAGTCGGACAAGGTACAGCAGACATGCAATATCATATACGTCGGTAGTTATTATACAGTATAACTTTGGCCCCTGAAATTATTTTGAAGTTCTCGTCAATAGCGGAGCGTCCGTGTTTTACGACATCCCTAATATATTACAGGGACTATTCATTTAATTGAAGATGACTATAACAAGAAATCACAGAAATCTTTATTCAACATTTTTGTATTCAAGCCATTAGATTTTCAACACTATTAGAAAAAAAGTTAATTTTATTAAATTCATATTTAGCTTCTGATTATATAATTTTCAAACATCAAAACTTAAGGTATTAGTATGCTAAGAAAAATTCAAAATTAACCCGTAAATATTCTTAAAGTATTCCAATTTTTTCTATTTAGTTATCACGTCATTCAAAAACTAAAAGTTTCTATTATACAGGACATTTTATTAATACGTCTTACAAAATATCTCATAAAATATTAGAGCTAATCATTATTTTATTTTTTAACTATAATGTGTTTTTGTTGAGTTCCTTTATAATGAAAACTGATATTTTGTCTAAAGTAGCACAACAAAGATTATTGTTGAAGAATAAAATAATGTATAAATCATTTTTGAGGATACTTTGTGAAGGCTTACTTAATGAATCACTTTGTATAAACAATGTACTTAGGAGATAGAATCTAATAATTTTCAATTCAAGTTATTTTATTTAAAATAATAGTAAAACAATAACCAACTAGTTATAACGCATTAAAACATATTTAAATATTTCTAAATAATATTCAATGTTATTTCTATAAGATCACTGGGTGGTCATAACGATAATTTATTTTGATAAAATATAGTTATTAATTATTGTTTCAAATTCGTAAGAAATTCTAAACGATATCTCTCATTGTTTAGGATGTGTTTTCTTCATTATTATTATAAACAAAATTGTTACATTATCCTAATTTTAAGTTTAACAATTTTGTGACCTTATCCCAGTGGAGCTCCGCCTGATCAACTTTTACTTATATAATTCGGAAAGAGTTCTTAAATATTAGGTTAGGCTATGGTCTAGTTGGCCTAGGCCCTATTTTCATTTATGATTAATATAGCAAAATAAATATTTTTATTGTTATTGTTAAACATTAAAATTCAAATGTGTACAAATATTGAAACAAAACTAACTGCTTGTGTGTTAAAATTAAAATCTTTATTACATTATATGGTTGGGTTGGCAACACTGCTTGTTATAGCTCTATTGATTCGCTGCTTTATTCCCTCACTTTACCTCCCTTTTTCATTCCCCTCCAATTACTAGTGATCAGATTTGGCTGTAGACTTGTGTAGTTTATCTCCGGTCATTTAATTTCTTACCATTAGTAATTTTTTTATACTTTCATAATAGTTTAAGGATAGAGAAGTATCATAAATGTTGCTATTAATTTGTTAATTCTGACTTTTACATTTCACAAGTTCATGGTCTCTTATGTTTTATCGTTTACCGATTAATAGTTGTTGATTACACTAACATCGCTCTCATTAGTCAATAAGAACCCCTAAGAACTCCGATATCATACATTAATATAAATAGAAAACGGCAACAATAGATTCTGAAATGGAAACGCAGGATACCAGTATGACAAATTTAATTATCAACTATCTTCCCCAGTCAATGACTGACAAAAAATTACATCAAATGTTCACTCAGATAGGGCAAATTGAAGCTTGTCGTGTGATGAAAGATGTTAAGGTAACTATCGTTAGTTTCATTTCTTAAATAATGATCATATTTTTTATACATTTCTTGTTATACTATTTACAAAGTATATTTCAATTCTTATCTATATTAACAAACTAAATAAACTCTAAATTAAAAAAAACAAAACTGTATTCTATATTTATTAATAATTGCAAACTACATGTTATTATTCAAAAAAAGTAACAATTTTGTGTGTTATTGATATTATTTTAAATGATACCCTTTACTCAGGAATTTGAAACTAAAATTATATGAGTTTGATAATTATCAATATTACTAATTTTACAATATTACATATTTATTTATGTTAATGAAGTATATTTTATAATACTTAAAATGTATATAATTTTATATTGAAACATTTTATATCTCTTACTGAAGATAATTAAAAACCAAACTATTAATAGATTAGTAAACTGCATATTTTGTCCTTTGTTATTGACTCATAAACCAAGGTTTCTCCTACAAAAAACAAAAATAAAATGATTAATGTGTATTATTATATGTGTGTATAATAATTGTATCTTGTTATTTTGTGGACTATTTAATGTAATAATTTTATATATTTCAAAATAAATGTCAATTATTTTGACTTACCAAGTAATGATATTATATAAAATTATTTTTTTTTTTAGACTGGCTACAGTTATGGCTTTGGTTTTGTTAATTTTGTTCGCCCAGAAGATGCATCCAGAGCAATTGAAGTGATGAATGGTCTTCAGGTAGAAAATAAGCGTTTGAAAGTATCTTACGCACGTCCTGCTGGAGAAGATATAAAAGATACAAACCTATATGTACAAAATTTACCTAGGTATACTACACAATATACTGTAAAAGACAAATTATTATTTTAATTACAATTGTCATTTTTAATTGTATTAGATCTATAACAGAAAGAGAACTTGAAGATTTATTTGCACCTTATGGAAAAATTGTACAAAAAAATATATTAAAAGATAAATACAGTGGACTTCCAAGAGGGGTAGCGTTTGTGCGGTAAGAATACCTTATATTAAAATTTTTATTTGTAGTACAATTTTGGGTAGATTAAATTATATAGTATGGATAATTTTTTTAAATTTTTGTGTTGGTATATTGGGTGGAATAATACCAACTGACAACTCTTATTATTAACTTTTGATAAAATTGTAATTTTGCACTAATTTTTTTTTATAATTTTTACATTCTTAAACTGTTAAAAGCATATCTATTATTATTTGTTTTTAATACTAAAATATATATATTTTAATTTGAAAATAGCCTTTATTTAGAGCTTTTTGAGTTAAATACATTTTAATACACGAGTAGCTATGTATCTTGGATGGATAACAGCTTGTACTAGTGTACATTTATAATTTATACTCTATTCGCACTACATATATGTATAAAAATGCTTGTAACTTATTGAATATTTCTTCTAAAATGTTATTTTCCAATAAAAAATGTTGTTTTTAATATAATATAAAAATACAGAAATTTAAATTCTTATATGAGTGAGTTGTTACTAATATCTTTTCTACTAGGTATATAATTTTAATAAATTATTTGAAATATTATTTAACTCATATTTAGAAACTAATTATTTTCTTTATTAGGTATAATAAAAAAGAAGATGCTCAGAAAGCTATTACCCAACTAAATGGTGTTCTGTTAGATGGCTGTACAGAGCATTTATCAGTCAAAATTGCAGAGGAGCATGGCAAACAAAAAGCTGCTTATTTGGCCGGTCTCCAAACTGGCTTAGCACACAGAGGTACAAATGATACCCTCACATACTTAAGCTACTAGATAACAAATGAAAAAAGAAAAAAACCTAATTTTGTTCCCCCCCTATACCAAATTATTGTTTCAATGTGCTCGAGTTACATGTCATACATCAGAAACAAATCTTAATATCTTGCATACTGGCACTACGGTTTATGTAAGTATTATTAAAAGTAACTTAACCTAGGCCTATTAAAATACATACAAAATTTTTCTATTATCTTCCAGTTTTGTTAGGTTATTTCCGTAGATATTAAGAAAGTATTTAAGTTATGCACGTAAAAGATATTTGAAGACTGTCATAGCAATTTCATTCTAATACTTACAATATTTTTGAAAATGTTTTGTCATTAAATAAAAATTAATATTTTAGTTTAGTTATGCACCTTTATTTGGCTTAAAAATCATTTTTTTGTATTACAGCTTCAATATGAAGCATAGTTCATAACAAGTAATTTTATGATTAGTTTTTTGTCTACTGAAGAATTTGTAATGTTTTAGCTATGTGGTATTGCTCTGTCAGTCGATATTATGTATTTAGTAATTATTATAATTTAATTGATATTAAATATGGATAAATATTATTAAAATCAGTTTTTATTTATTTTATCAAAAAATAAATAAATTGGAACTTAATACAATTAAATAAACTTAATTTTATTGAGCAATTGTATAAATTTCTCTATATTTATAAAACTAGTCATAATAACTGACAAAATTTGTTTTTAAAAATAATTATTTTACTTTAATAGACTTACGTAAAAGGGAATTAAATCAAAACAATTTCCAAGGACTGANTAAATATGGATAAATATTATTAAAATCAGTTTTTATTTATTTTATCAAAAAATAAATAAATTGGAACTTAATACAATTAAATATTGNGGAGTATTTGATAATTATAATTTGTTACTATCAATGATGTTCACATTTTATTAAAAATCCCTATTTAAATACTGTGCAAATGTACTTTTACATATTTAAATAGGGATTTTTAATAAAATGTGAACATCATTGATAGTAACAAATTATAATTATCAAATACTCCAAGTTAATAGGTAACAAAATTTTAAAAAGTCCTATTAGAAAATGATCAGTAATATGGAGGGAGGGTTATCTTAAATACTTTTTAGGGTACACCAACCATCATATTATAGTGTTTATAAACAGTATATAAAATTATTAAACTAAGAAAATTACTGGTTCATAAGAACTTTTTATCCAGTGTTTTAGAATTTATGAACATTTTAATACTTGGATTGGAGGATAAATGCTACAATGTAATACATAATTATAAAAGTAACAAAAACATCTCCAGTCGACATTTAAAAATGTTTGTATATTCCAAAATTCTGGTTCAGAAGTTCTTATTTAACAATCATTTTCCTAATTAGATCATTATCTTATAAAAAAATTAGTAAACTAAGTGTGTTCATTTAGAAAATATAAAGTTGCTACTCTTATAAGACTAAGGAATGAACATAAAACTAAAAAAAAATTTAATAATGAATACTGTAGTAAAAAATAATAAGATATTTACAATTTAATAAAAGTTGTTTTTTTTTGAAGCGGTAAAACAAAAATAAATTGTTTCCACTATTAAATAAAATAATCTTGGTTAGTTTAGGTACGAGTGAGACAAAATTCATTATTTTAAACTGGCATTTAAGATCATCTTAATAAAATAACTCAACGTTTGTTTTTTTAAAGATTTGAAAATCTTTACCACTCATAAGAACTAAGTATAATCTCAATACCTGTGCACTAGAATCCAATGTTTTTTTACCAAACTATTAAGATTACTTGACTTTGGGAAAAAATTTTAATAATTTTTATTTCTAAAATTTTTAGTCTTTATTATTTATTTAAAAAATAATCATTATATGATGAATTTATATACAATAATATTATTATATTTATACAAATTTATTACTTATTAAATAAATAATTAACAACACTATTTTTACTTCTTCTATAAGTGTTATATTAGAAAACTAGCTTTATGCAGTATTATTTATCATAAAATCTATTAAGACTAAACATGTTAAAGTGATGTTCGTATGTATTACCATAATTTTAATTTAGTAATTATGTTTAAGTAACACCTTAATTAACTAATTATTTGCTTCTCATTTATTTTTTGTTTGTTTTTACTTTATTATCAATTATTTATAATTAATAGAAAAATTTTGTATGTATACTTAAATTTGTTACTTTTCATTATTAGGCCAAATCATCACTTTTAAGTTGTTGTTAAAAAATAATTAAGATTTTTATCAACTTTAAATAAAGAAAGCCTCATGTTTCCCTATCTCAAGTCATAATACTTCTCATATTTAGGAAGCTTATTTCTTTTGCTTTTTTTTTTTAATATGGTTTAAAGGTTTTTTTTTTTATCGTTGTAATGATCCAAATATGAATTGTGTTAAGACTTAAAAACAGCATATTTATTTTAGGGGCCAAGCCTAATCAAAATATTCATCAATTACTTAGAGGAAATCATATCATTGACAAATACTCTAACGGATTAATACAGCCAATGGATAGGCACAATATTGGTGCTGTTCGTCAAGACAGAGCTAGTTATCGTTATACCCCAGTTGGTATGTTTCCACCACATGGTTATAATGTTGGTATTGGTAATGGGAACATGTATTAAATGTATGGATTTCATAACATTAAAAGATCATACTTTCATCAGATGTACAGATTTTAAGGTTTTTTTCTTTTTTAATGTAAATTAAAAAAAATTACTTTAATAAAATATTTATATATATATGTATATTTATTTACATATATTAAGAATCTATCTTCATAGTATATATAAAATGTGCTTGATATATTTTTTTAAATCCTAATTAAAACATAGATGTCATTTATAAAGTATAATTATTATTTACTTTTTTAACATTAAAATTTTGTAAATAATTTTAACCAACAAATAAAATTCATGTTAATTCTTGAAAAAAAAAAAGAATACTCTAATTTATAATTTTACTTTTGATATTCTCAATCAATTTTAATAGTTAAGTCTTAACTGCATGAAATATAAACCTATATATGTGCCTAAATTTTTTGGTTTCATTCAATTTTTTACTAAGTGGTGATTTTCACCTATACTCCAAAAAGATATACCACTACATCAATTTCTGGAAAATGATTACCTAAAAAACATATTTTTCTTTTTAAATGTTGTTAATATTTATATGTTAAAACTTTGTTTATTTTTAAATTTAAATTCATTTTATGTAATATAATTAAATATTGTTTTAAAATGATAATTAAGTTTGTTCTTTTTTTTGTTTATCTATCATTTATCATTATTATTTAAAAAATGTGGACAAGTAAATATGGCTATTATCAGTATTTGTATCTTTAATTTAATTTCCAAAATGTTTAAATATATTTTAAAATAATTAAGAAAATCCTTATAGGTATTTTTTAGTTTCATACATCTCTTGATTTATTATAAAGTATTTTTGAAATTCATTTCTTATACATTATAAAGATGTCAACTTAGTTTCTTTAAAACAAAACGAGATTATTTCTTCAAACTTTGGCATATGTTATATATTGAAATACACAAAAAAATAACATTCACTTGTCAATTCCAAAATAAATATTAAATAATTGGAATATTGCTTTTATTGATGCTCAGATAATAGAAGAATTTATTACCGTTTTGGGTTTTAAGAAAGTTAAATTGAGGAAATATTTTTAACACTAGCAAAAAATAAATCTCATTTTGTAAAGAATTAAAAGAATATTCATAGCAAATATGAAAAAGTATTTGATGTATGGTAGTACAATGGATAAGATAAATTAATGTTTTATCTTATCTGCAGTAATACTATGACTTGAATATTGATTTATTTTTTATATAAAAATATTTTCAATGACAAGATATTGCCTTTAATAGATGATGATAAAAACATTCCATTTTCTATTATATAAAGTTACCTTATAATACATTTATCCACAATTTGAAAATAATTTTTAAGTATAGATTTCTTTATACTACTCGTTGATACGAGTATATAAATAATTTTGATATAGATAATTGTTATTTTCAATACTCGCATCATGCTTCAATTAAAAATGACACTATTCTTAATTATTAAACTAAAGAATAAATAAATGATTAATGGAAACAATTTTTTTTCATTTTTTATATTTTATAAAATAGTTATTTTACAAAATGTGCTTAATCATCTCCTTTTGTTACCCTTGTATATATTACTTGGGCATGGTGTTGTATAACTTGTTTGATAAGACCTATAACAAAAATTAAATCATGAATAGCCTATTAATAGATATACAATATATTTCAAGTAAATTTTAGTTTAATAGAATATATCACTGTAATAATATTACATTAAAAGATATATATAAAACATACCTTTTTGACATAGTTCATCTAAAGCTTTACGAGCTAATGATCCACGAACTTTCAATCTTTCACTAACAACAGATGGAGTAATAAGTTTATATGATGGAACTTCTTTATACAACTTATCATACGATGCTTTGTCAAAAAGAACTTGATTATTTAACTTGTCACGAACTTTTCCTTTGGACCACTTCTACACAATGTGTAAAACAGTACCATTATTAATAGCTGATGATATAAATAATGAAACTTAAATAAAACTCCATACCTTCTTCTTGGCTTTACCACCAGAACCTCCTTCTTTCTTTTTCTGGGTTTTTTGAGGCTGCTTTGAGGAACCTTTAGCGTCTTTTTTGGGGGGCTAAATATAACATTTACATTAAAAATGTATTAATTTAATAAATAGTTAAAAACAACAATTTTACAATACAAAAAAATTGTAAAAATGATCACTTTCAAAAGTATAAAAATTTTCTTCTATATTGTAAAACACCATCATGTGGCCATCATGTAATAAGTGTATAATGATCACATGGTTAAAAAAAAAATTAAAAATTAGATATAAGCCGATGTTTGCAAATACCTAATTAACTCATTAAATATAAATATGTCTAACGGAAAAAAATATAATTGAACTTACCATTATTACAAGTTTGCTCTATAAATTTAATTTAAGACGCACACCGACAAGTCGCGTAACATTTAACTCGAAAAACGAAAAACAAGCGACGATGCTAAAGAGAAAGATGATAGGGAAACAAGTGAGAAAATATTGAATAAGGTTATAATGCGTACAGTGCATTAAACACAAGCATGATATAACAGTGTTACAATTTGCACGTTATCATATGTCTTCACAACACGAATCAAGATGTATACAAATAGTCTGTTATCATGAGTTATAGACCATTTCCAGCTGTTTTCAAAAAAATTTGGTAATTTTTTATCAGTAATTTTAAGTTAATCAATCTTCAAAGTTACAGAAGTTGAGATCATTAAGAACGATTCTACATGTGAACTAATCATTATAAATAACCATGTCTGTTCATGTTTTTAACAATAACGTCAAATTATTTAGTAAGTATATATTATAAAATAATTATAAAATAATTGTAATATATTGGAATATTTTTTATTCAATAGGAAACCGTGGTCTGCCACTTACTGTTTCATCATTACATTTTAGCAGTGAGTCCTTAGAACCGCATGTTATAAAAAATCCTGCACTTTCACAATTAAAAAGAGGTACTGGTGGTCGTTCTAGTTTCAATGGAGTAGTTGCAACAGTTTTTGGAGCTTCTGGATTTCTTGGCGGTAATTTAGTTAATCGCTTAGGCAAATGTGGAACTCAAGTAAAAAATGTTGTATTATTATTGTGATTTATATGTTTCTAATATTTATGATAACACTATAGATGATAATTCCATATCGGGGTGATGCATACTTTGTTAAAGATCTTAAACTAACTGGTGATTTGGGCCAAGTTCTTTTCCAGCCTTATCATTTACAAGATGATGAATCTATTAGAAAAGCTGTGAAGTATTCAAATGTTGTTATTAACTTAATTGGACGAGATTGGGAAACAAAAAATTTTAAATTTAATGATGTTCATGTAGAAGGTGCTAGGCGCATAGCACGTATAAGCCGTGAAATGGGAGTAGAACGACTCATTCATGTATCAGCTCTTAATACTGATCCTTTACCTGAAGTATGATTGTTAAATAAGGTTTCTAATTTTTATTAATTGTATAAATAATAATAATATGTTTTAGCCAATTTATCTAAAAAAAGGCTCAAGCTTTTTGACATCAAAAAAATTAGGTGAACAGTTAGTACTTGAAGAATTTCCTGATGCAACAATTTTTCGTCCATCTGATATATATGGCCAAGGTGATAGATTTTTATTGTAAGTTCTGTTCTATATTAATTACTGCTTAATATTTTTATTTGAATGTACTTGGCTAATACTGACAAACCCTTAATGTTTTGCAATTTTTTTATGCAAAAAAATTATTAACAATTATTTTATTAAAAAAAAAGAATAAATATTTTTCATTTCACCGTTTTCCAAAATTTGTAGATAATGATTCTTAAGGTTTTGGAAAATGTTAATTTTAATTAGGTTTTGTAAGAGGTTGAAAGGAGGTATCACTTTGAGAAAATGTGCTGGTATTTTTTAATCTTGTGCTAAAGTACTCTTACTTTCATGGAGCCCATGATGTGTTTTACTCCTAGGTTTATGTTTTCTTCATTATGTCTTTTTGTATTTAAATCTAGGTCTAAGTTTGTTTTGAACTTTATCTGCATGGGAACTGTTTCTGACATTTTTATAGTTTTACACCTGTTAGCATCAAATTTTCTTATAAAATACGTTTTTTAAGTTAAATGCTATTAGTATTCCAGTTGAATAAATTAATTTTATTTAAAGATAAATAACATTTAGAATTGTTGGTTCTTACTTATATAATAAAATAAAAATATTTTCAAAAATATTACTTTTCATACACATGATTTTTGAATATATGGTTTGGTTTCCAATTTTTAATATAATTGCTAGTAACTTTTTTAGAGTATTCACAAGCTTTATAATAAGCAGGGTATTCTTGTTGTAATTTAAACAAGTAGGGAATTTTTAGAGTCCTTTTGTAAAACGATGTAGTATGCAGTAAGCTATGATGGAAATTACATATTGAGGCAAAAGTAAAAAAAACCATGACTACATTGTTACATGTAGAAGAAGTCTTGGAAAGACACCAGGTCTTTCTAAGAATTATGTAAAGCTAATATATTGTATTGGTCTGGTGAACCAGAACAACACTTATTAGAACTAAAATGCATTCAAAGAATGATTACCATATTCATTACCTGAGTTATAATAACCACATTAATGGTTGCATTAGAGGCATTAATTGGACTACCTTCTTTACACCTACAGGTTATAGCTCATGCCTAAACTATAACATTAAGACCTCACTACTTATGGATGTGGGTTATGAAGAGTAATGTTGTAGAACATGGTAAAATTCTAAAAGAGGTAGACCAAAGTATACTAAGAAATCCCTTGGATTTTATCGACTGTTATTTAAAATAACATACCCTACAAAATTGGTATCTTAACAGAGAATGGAATATAAATTACCTGATCAGTAAAGGAGTGTTTGCAATTTGTATAGGAAATTCCAAGAAATAAGAAGAAGTAGTAGATGGTATTTGAGGATTAAAATTCAACGTATATGTCAGCATATTAATGGGCACAATAACCTCTGTGTTCTAAACAGAGGTAATGGCAATATTAGTATGACTCAGAACCTTCTAGATTAAAATAATGAAACTTAACTATCCTAAGTGATAGTTAACCTGCTCTGAAGACGCTTAGTAATTACCAGGTGACTTCAAGGCTTGCCCTTGAATGCAGGTAAACTTTAGAATCATTAATAAGGTGCAATATAGTTACGTTGGAATGAATACTAGGATATATGGTAATGAAAATGCAAACTTTTTAGCAAGGAAAGGTGCAGATAACACCTATGTAGAACCATAATCAGTCGTAGGACCCGTGGAACAATCCAAAAAAATATTATCCAAAAACTGATGTAAAGAATATATAAAGTTTCCTTGTGGTATCAAGACAATCAAAAATGTTTATCAAAACTCTCAGTTGACCATGAGGGATTTTAATAACATTACTAAATATCATATAAGTACTCTGACTGGACTTCCTGACAGAACATAGTCATCTGTTTAAAAATGTTTACACAATGGGAATGACAGTATATCCACTATGCAAGAAGTATAGAACAGAAGTATGAAATTTATTTCACACAGTATGTGTGAATGTGACACCCTATTACCACATAAAGAATTAAACACTTAGGAGAATCTTTTTCTGAAAAAGAAGATATCAAAAACTTTTAACCCAAAGAAATACTTTATTTCGCCAGTGAGATAGGACTCTTTGAACATATATAAGAGTGGTTTATTAGTATGTTCTTTATAGATAATATTGTGTTACATATACAAATATTGGCAACAATACTTCAGTGTAATTAATATGTAAAATTTATTTTTAATAAATGTAGTGTCATTGATTAAAGCAATACATTAAAGAAATTACTATGAAAGCAATGCATGTTGTTACAGTTCAGTAAAATTTAAATTTTATTAATTAGTAAAAATCAGACATTAAAAGAAATAAAACAATAATAGTGGTATTAATTATGAGACCCTATAGCTCACAATTAGTAAATTAGAAAGTAATTAAGTTTTAATAAAATTCATTATTCTAACAAAACCTTCTATTCAATTTTTTCCATTAATTATTATGTAAACTCAATAGTATCATCAATGTTTTCTAATATTAAGAAAAATATTCTAGAAGTTTATTAGTAAAGTACACAATTATTAAAATTGAATTAGTATAATTCATTATAATTATAATAAACGATAAATATTTGGGCTGATTTTTATAGAATGTACAGTCATGCATGGCGCCGAAGTATGCAACAAATTGTTCTTTGGAAAAAAGGAGAACAAACTGTAAAACAACCAGTTGCTGTTGCTGATGTTGCTGCTGCTATTACAAATGCTGTGTTAGATCGCTCTACGGCTGGAAAAATATATCAAGCTGTTGGGTATAAAACAAATTAGTATAACAGAATACTGTTAATATAAATTTTCTTTATTCTTTAGTCCAACACCTTATTTGTTAGCTGATTTGGTTGATTGGATATTTGCTATATGTCGTCGTACAAAAGAATTTAATTATGACTATAAACGAACAGGTATCTTAGGAAATCCTCAACATTTAATAAAAATGTGGTTAACAGATAAATTTTGCCCAAGTTGGCCTCCAGGTTTTGTTACAGCAGAACGTTTTGAAAGGGTATACTCTTGGAATGAAAATTATTTATTAAAATGTTATATAAAAGAAACAAACTATTTTTTAGGAATTCGTTTCTGATGTAGTTAATGAAAAATTACCAACATTGGAAGATTTGGGTGTTACATTGACTAATCCTGAAAAGCAAATACCTCATGAATTAAAATATTTGAAGGCGTTCCAATACTACATTGAAACAATGGGAGAAATTGAAGACCCTATTCCACCTCCAGCATATGTACTATCACCAAAAAATAACTTCTTGTAGACATAAATTAAAATGAAGTAAATGAAGACTTTTAAATGTTTAATCAAAAATATATTTTGAATTAAATTTTTTGTTTTCAAATCATAAAGTTCATAAAAATAATATCCTAAATAGTAAATAATTTTATAATATAATAATTATACATTTATTTCTATATAAAATATAGTTACACAAAAAAATCATTTCACATTTAAGTCTAATTATGCCAGTCATAATCAGAGACTAACATATAGGAATACTGACTAGGTATAGTTTTTCCAGCTTCAATAACTTAAAAGGAAATTGTCATTGTCAATTAAAATTTTAATTTTGTGCCTAATAGTAAGTCTATTTCTATCTTGGAAATATAGACTTGCAATTAAGGTACATTTTATTTAAAAAAAAAAAGGTTAATTAATCTTAAAGACTAGTATCACATCCATTCTGAATTGTTTTATTGTTTTAGAAACCATCTGAAGAACGTGTTTGCCGTATAGGTCCTAGATACCTGTTCCACCAGTCTGTATCTATAATAACAAACATAATATTTAATGTACAACTACATAAAACATTTTGTTAAAAAATATTACGTGCATATTAATTTTGTTTGTTGTTATTATTTTTATTGTATAATATTTTGGTCATAAGTTACATGTTCAAGTGGCAAACAGAAATTTTTGATCATTTCAATAAACTTAGTTAAAACAATGTGTACCTATTACTTTTTATAAATTTATTTATTGTTAGTATAATTAATTTTCGAAACATGAATAAAGTATACTTAAATGAATAGTGAAAATAAAGTTATTAATTAATAAATAATAAACATGTACGTAAGCATAATTTTAACAAAATTTCAGGGAAGTTTTTGTCAATATTGCACAATTTCTTTTTCAGTCTACCAAAAAAATGTATTAAGGTTATTACTAATTATATGATTTCTAAAAGTTTATTCTCATTATTATCGTTTTCAAAAATATTTTTAAGTATGCAGTTAATTTATTTGTTTAAAAAAGAGATTAAAATATTTTTTTTTTACAAAAATTATATAAAAATAATACAAATTAGGAGTCAAACAAAATTATAAAAATTTAGCTTGTCAATTTTAAATTTTTTCAAATTTTATTTGAATATTTTATGAATTTTTCAATACGCCTCTCTGTCAGGCGAATCCTTCTTATATTTCTGACCATACGATGATTGTACACGTGTATGAATTTATAAAAATTAAAAAATATAAAATAATTGCATATAAAATGTTTATTATCAATTTTTTTGTTAATATTTAAATGAAATAATGTTTAATTAGCACAAAATTAGTAGAGTAAGCTAAAGATTTGTGTCCATATGCGTATAAATGAAATGAAGTTAAATGCATAAAAATGTATTCTGTTGTTTTACCAATAAATTTCCAGTACTTGAACCAAGCACGTTAACAACAGTCTTATGAAAATTAATATAATATTTTTGTGAGAGTAAATTCAACTTCAAACTATTGTAATCGCACGTTAAAACTGGATAGTATCATCAGTGTCTACTCGTGTTGTGAACTCTGTTGAGAGGGAAAAAATCAGTATTACCCTATACCATCAATATTGATACTAATTGTTTTTTTGTGGTTTTTAACTATGAATTATTGCGGAAGAAAAATTCTTATTTAAATACTCACCGTGCGATGTGGATCGGTTGGTTGCAAAAGCAACAGGCTGAACTGGCGGTAATGCCGGTGTAAGTTCGTCTGGAGTTGATGAACGGCTATGTGGCTCGAACCCAACTGCTGTAACAGCTGCGACGTCTGGTATCTATTTTAACGCAAAATTACATCAAAAGTAAATAGGTATAAAGAACAAATTTGAAATATACAATGAAAGCGTAAAAAAGATTATAAAATTTACCGTTCTAGAATTTTGCATTGTATCCATAAAACTACGACTTCTAGAGTACTGGTAGACATTATAATCATTTGTGGCTTCTTCTACTTCTATATGTAAAAAACTTTCTTGGCTGCTTGTGAACTATTATATCAAAAAATTAAATATTATTTTATATTTAAAAAAGTAATGCCAATCAATTTTTAAATATATTATATTTAAAAAAAAGATTGACTACAAAAAAAAGGTTCATTAATTAAAGTTTGTGGGATCCTAAGTAAGTGCATTGATGGCTTTGCCTTACTGCCTTGCATTTAAGTTTTTGAAGATTAAGATAATTTAAAGGACGAGTGTTTTATTTAGGGTTTTTGAATCATCATAATGTATCAAAACGTATCGGTAAAGTTATACTAAGTTACGTGCGCCATTATTAAAGCAAAATGATGTTATCTTTATTATAAAATCATGTGGTAATACAATTTAAATTGGAAAAATTTATTACAGAGCATTTAAATTAGTAAAATAATATTGTGTATAACTAACATAAAAATAATTAAAAAAACAATAATGAATAATGTTATATTGATAAATATTATATAGCCAGTTAATTGGTATAAATAGTTAATCATTCAATTTGTATAATTATTTTTAAAGATACAGAAATTAATTAGAAAATGTGTTACTTAATTATAAGTTTTAAGAATACTTTGTGTTTTATGAATTTTAAATTTTGAAAATAATTAGAAAATACTCAAGATAAATAAATAAATCTTGGTAGGATTTTACTTTTCATAGATACTGTATCGGAGAACACTCTCTATTGCTTTTCTTTGAAAACAAATTATAAAAGGGCTAAAAAAAGTTGTTGGGTTACTAGTATAAAATTTGTTTGCTCGTGCTTGATAATTTTAGAAGCCAAAATACTTAACTTTATTTTTTGTGATAGAATATCAAAAATTAGAACTAAAATTAAGCAAAATTCAAATTTTAAAGCAATTTGGTAGAAGTAATACATTTCTAATTTTTATGTTCCTTTCGTTAGATTTATAAAAAGCATATGAAGGATACTCAGAAAAAAATTTAAATGATGCTTAAAACATTTATTTATGTGAATAAAATAATGAATTAATAATCTCAAAATTATTAATTTTCTGATGTATATTCAAATTTTTATCGTATACTGTATCTATATTATTTTAGTAATATATAGATTGTTTTTACTATATTATAAAGATTAAAAATTTTTTTAAATTTATACATAGTAGTACCATACATGTGTATTTGTTTTTTTAACATTTTTGAAATTAGTAAATTAATTTTGTAATAGTACTATATGTTTTATTTGTTATTTTGTTCACAGTATTTATTTATGTTTTTTTTAATATATACAAATTGAGGAGGAGTGTTAACTAATCAATTTGTATTATCAATATTATTATGTTTTAAGGTTGTACTAAATATTATTCTTACATTACTATGTGGTCACCTGAGAAATGATTCTCTAAATTAATTGTTTTGTAATTAAATTTAATAGATAGTTTTAACATACACTTTAGTTTAAATTGTAATTAAAATAAGCAGGTTCCTGAACTAGGGTTAAATTAGAGTTATTTAAAATTAATAGTTCCATGAATAATAATCACCAGAAACCATGACAAATATTTAAATGTATGATTTATCTACAAAAAATAAAAAAACTTATAGGAAAAATCCCTTTGGTAGTTAAGGTCATGGTCATCCATAAGTAATTGAATTACTAAATGTTATTATATTGATCAAAAAAACATAAAAAATATATTTAAAAAAACGTTAACCTTTTAAATTCAAGTATTGTAAATTTATATATGAAATAAAAAATACTAAAAATATTTGAATTGTTATTAAATTATAAAAAAGCCAATTTTTTTTATAGCCTATATTAATAAAATATTCAGTAAAAAATACCATGTTAGTTGACATGTTAAATTTGTTTTTGTGAACAACGTAAAATTAATTACTTAGAATATTTATGGTACAATTTGTCAATTAGGGTAGGTAGGCACAGATAATCAAATTGTGTAATATTATAATTGGGTTTAATTTTTTTTATACTTTTAGTATATATAANAAATTGTGTAATATTATAATTGGGTTTAATTTTTTTTATACTTTTAGTATATATAAATATGATGAATATATATATATATTGATCGAAATAACATTTTTAAATGTTTAATGCTATCGTAACTTATGCATAACTTTAAACAAATCCTTTTTTCAAAAAAATTAAATTTTTTACATAAAATATTATACACCATGTGTAATCTTGGCTGGCTATATCAAACGCAGAATTATGTGGAAATACTAAATGTTTAGTTTGAAACAAATAATTCATATAATTCATATAATATTGATTATTCAGGACCATATCACAATATAAATGTAATTATTACAATAATTCTATATAATTATACATTAATAGCATAATCTACAATAATTAACTCGCAAGTTTTTATTATAGAAATCGTTTAATTAACATTGTCTCTTTGCAAAACATTCAAAATTCTTAAGAGAAAATTTATTTAAAACTATTAAACAAGTTTCAATAAGAATATTTGTTTTGTTAATTATATTTAAATGTAAACTTATACTTTACTAAGAACTTGTGAGTACAAAATAAAAGAGAAAGAAGCGATGATAGTTCAATTTTTTATAATTGTTTTGTTTATTTATCTATTTTTTAAATAAAATATTTTCTCTTTTTATAAATTATTTTGCTAATTTAATATTTTTGTCTCCTAACTGCATCATACTGATAGCTATAATAGTTGTATCTTTCGCTAGAGTTAGGGCCAAATGAATAACTTATTTAAAATAAAAAATAAAACTTCTTGCCAAGTGAAATATCAAAACATGGATCTATTTTATGTTTGGATAAAAATATAATTACAATTCTTTTTGATATTTAAAAACTTTTTTGAAATATTTTCTATAAAATTATCATACGATAATTTAAAATAATGATGACTAACTAATATTGAAATTTGCCTACCAAAAAACCGTAGTGTTTCAGAATATCCATTTTACACATTGGACAAGTTCGGTGTTCTAACAGCCAAGGGTCAACACAACTCTTATGGAACTCGTGTCGGCATGGCAATATTCGTACCACTTCGGACGGTCTGTATGGTTCAATACAAACGGCACAACAATCGCCGTCTCCAATGATTTCCTATGATGAAACACAACGAGTAATTTTATTACATAACATTTATGTGATTGAACCAATAATTAAACTTATATTTTAAAGGATATTGGCAATGAACGTTAAAAATAATACAAAACATATAAAGACATTTCATTATTTGTCAGCATTCATATGTTTGCGTTGATTAGGACATCTCAATTTGCACAACAAAAACACATCAATGTAAAAACAATAACTGTGTCTTAAAAAAACCGAAGTACATAGAACAATAATCAATAGTCCATCATATGGACATATTTAGTTTCGTTTTCAATTAATACACACTAACAAATTTGTTAGTAAAAACGATTCCGTATGGTCGCCTGCTTCACAAAATACAACTAAATTAAATTGCTTGTGAATGTTGAAACACGATTTCATAAGCTAAGAAATTTTTCACTGAGTAGTTTACAAATAAAAAATAATAATATTTCAAATATTGGATAAATAAGATCACATTTTACTGCATAAAAATTGAAATGTTCGCTTGACTACTCAAAGGGGAATACATACAACAAATGTACACTCTAGATACAAGAATACAGTTTTTATGATAACTGCTTTGATTATTTATGAATAGAGGTTGAGAATTAAATTTCAAAGAAAATATAAATTGTAAGCTTACAAATGCGTTGGGTTATGTTAGTTTGGTTGAGTTCACTTTATAATGTAATCAGAAAGGCAAATTAGTGAATTTTCTATTAATTTAGTCAAACATCATGTTAAACGATTTTCCAAAAATTACTACTACAATATGAAGAACGCATTGAGAATTAAAATTATTTATGAATATAACATTTTTGCTGCTACAGCATTTATGGCAGTTCTGGTTGAAACGGTGCCAGAACTCAGATAATAATAATTTTAATATTATTTAAATAAAATCACTATTTTAGAAAGTACATAAAACAAAAGTTTAATTGAATTTAAACTTAAATTATTTTAGTTATCTAACAAAATAAGGATTATGTTGTTAAGAGCGGCGGAACTAGGGGTGTGCAAAATGTGCCCCCTCACGAAAACTCACTTCTTATAGGAGCTCGCAAACTAAGTTAACAATAAAAAAAAAGATGTTTCACTAGAATCGTAGGACTTAAAGTTTCAATAACACGTGAATAAAAAGTTAAATAACAAGTAAATTGTATTGTACAAATTAAATTGAAAACCCATCGATTTATTTCGATAATTTAGTATGAAATATAGCATTAAGTTTTTTTATAATATTTTCAAACTATTGCACACACATTCATTATTTGTAAATGCTGTAGAGCGACTTTGCCGACGAAGCCCCCAAAATGTTCGTGTGTACTTTAGTGTGATATTGAAATGAAAAAAAGTCGGTAGGACAAGGACACGATATAAATTAAATAATACTGTCACTTAGAAACTTATGCAGTACTTGAAGACATGTTTTTATGAGACACTAGTGTTGTTTTTACCTTGTCGTCCACTTTGATATGTTTTGTGGGTATTTTAGAAAGAGCTTTTTTGGCTGCATTACACAATCGTCTCTGAAAATAGAAAAAATTATTACTTTAGCAATTGCAAAGTAATTGAAAAATACAAAGCACCTGTAATTATTAATGAATTGTTTTTAATGAGTTTTAATGAAACTAGTTTTTAGAGATACTCTTAAAAATAATACATATAAATTATAATTTATTTTAAGATTACAAAATTTAGTAAAGTCATAAAATATCTATTGGTCGACAGTGTTATATTTTGACTGGCACATGAGCATATAGATGAGTATTGGTAGTGTGTGAATATATTTTTCACTTTCATTTCCTCATTTCTCTACACATGCGTGATATCGTTTTTTTTTTTTTTATAAAAGATACAGTTAACTATTTAATACATACGGTCCAAAAATCCCAAATAACCTCGTGTTGACTAGATGTATGCAATAACTTAGAAATCGGTTTTATAACCGCGCGAGTTTATTTTTTTAATGCTTACGTGCAAGTTTAAATCTCTAGTGTATACTCATTCAGATATTCGGTTTTAACTAACCGATTACAAAATTTGGAAAGTCAATAATGGCCGTTGTAAAATATTCAACAAAATTTTAAGTAACGCATGTGTGAATGTAGTAAGTGACAAGTGCCTTGAAGTTAGTTAACAGATTTTTCTACCGTTGATAATGACGTTTAGAACATGACATTCATAACAATAAGGTTGAGTAACAAAGATCTTTATTAGATGAAAATATCGTTTCTAAGATGTATAGTTTATATTAATAGTAGTACTATGCAATGGGTAAAGAGTTATTTACCTGAGAAATAACTATTTATAAAGTGGCAATGAATTACTGTGTCGATTACCATTATGAGACGGGTAATGTGTGTCTACGCATATTTGCATAGACAAACATTATAAAGACACAGTGTACTATTGAATGAGTAAGGTGTCTTCTTAATGTAATTGTTATATATTTTATCATCGATAAAAGGTTTTAGCACAGAGTTATCTGCTAATGAGGTATGTGTAATTCATAAATTTAGGCTTCAGTAAAACACGATAACTAATATTATAGATAAGGAATATTACTCTAATATTCCTTCCCGTACCTCAGTGAAGATATTATAGGTAGATTATTATATACCAAGTCTAGCACAAATTAGTAGGTAATTTGATCAATTACAAGTTACTCACGGATAGCTGGTCTTTAGCATGTATATAACGGAATCGTTGGATATAGTAGAACACGAGCCATGCCAGTGAAATTACCATCAGCACAATGAACGATATGCTTACAAACAGTACGGACGTCCTGTGGATGAAAAAAAATATTGTTAAAGATTCATTGATAACTGTCCGTTAATTTAAAAATATAATAATAAAAATAATTATCAAAAGGATTAACATTGACAAAGTTTGTGCTTATTACTGCTGTTATTTGACTCGGATGCATCAAGATTTACTTATCTATCATCACAGCAATTCTTATAAATGGTAAAATAATTTTACGGACATTGAAATATTGAACTAGGTCCTATTGACTGTTTATGGAATTATTTGTAACATGTATTATGTTTGATAATAAACAGTACTCTTCAGTTCAACGACAAAAACGGAATACTTCACATATATTTTTATTCTCAGAAAACTACAGACATTTTCGAAATGATCGAATATAATTTTGAATGATAACTCAATTTTTCATACTTAAAAAATGGTTGTAGAAGACTTACATCAAATGTCATTAAATTCTAAACAAAGTATTAGGAAATATAAATTTTTCTCTGATATATATATATATATATTCGTCGTTTTAATCTTAATTTAAAATTTGAAATAAATAGTTATTTTGTTATTGCATAGAGTCTTTTAATTATATTCTCGGCGAAGTAAAAATGTATATAAGTACATAGACTATTGTTTACAATGGTAGTTGATAAACGTATTTTACACGCCACACAAAAATTATTGATTTTGTACGTGTTGCAATCTGTGGTAGATTGTTATTGTTGAATATTAAGCACATAATATTGTTATTTAAATTATAGCATAGGCAACGCAATAATCCGGAAATGGATAACTATTAAGGTTCGATGTTACAATTTTCATTAGAGTTGGTTCCTATCGTTTTTTATAAATAAATAGTTTATTGTTAAACAATCATCTTAAAAATAAAATTTGATTGAAATTAATTTCAAACAAGATTACAAAATATTATCTATTTTCAAGTATACATCTTTTACATTAATTGTCTTAATTGTTTATTTTTTGTGTTTAGAGAAAAATTTAAAAGTATATATTAGTAATTGGGTAAATTTCTAAAAAATTTTTTTTTAATTGATATTATACAAAAAAAATAATTATAGGTATATAGAGCCCTTGATTTATTATAGATTCTATTAAAATAATAATAACTTTTTTTTTTTTGGCTTGTTTAAGTAGTACTATTTTTTGATTTATAAATGTTTAAATAATTTCTATGACCAACCCTTGTCCCTTATTTGAATACCAACTTAATATTTTTAAATGTCATAAATATTAAATGGGTTTTATATTTATGGAAAATTGTTCAAATACGAAAATTATTGGTCGTCGATAAGAATTTTTAACTCGAAATTCATAAGTTATAATTATGTTCATAATATACCTTGATGGGAAGAGTTAGTATTTTTGTGTGGCTTTTTAAGTTAAACATTTTTAATATTTTTTTGTTTTAAATTAATATTTTAAATAATTTTTTCATTTTAAATAATATAAGCCACAAATGATCAACTTTTATTAAATAAATACATTATATATTATTGAGTCTATAGTATTATGTAAAAAAATCTACTAACTAAATAAACAAAGGGCATCATATTAAGTGTGTAACTGAATACATATTCATTAGTTATTATTACTTGTCACTTAACAACACTCATTTTCCCCTTATTGTAGATATTTACTTATGTTAAAAAAAATTATTTACAATATATCGTTACACTTCATACTTTTATAATTGTACTTTGAGTGTATTTGAAAACAATGTTCATTTTGGTTTATTACATAATTTCTGTAATAATTTATGATGACTTATTTAAAACAAAAACTAATTAAATAATTTAAATGTTGAATGACATACAATGATCAATATTATTGTTAATTTAAACAATATAAAACAATAACAGCCTCATTCTTTAAAAACTAAAGCAAAGAAAAAACCAAGTATGAAAACAATAGTAAACGAAATCAACAAGATAACATCAAAAATAAAAATTGTATACATTTAAATTAATTGATGGTACATTTCGTCTCAAAAAAAAAAAAAAAAAAAAAAAAATATAAAAANCAAAAAAAAAAAAAAAAAAAAAAAAACATCTATAAAAATAATAATATTAGATACAATTAAGTTATTAATTAATTAAATTATTTTTATGGTTAATTTGTCAAATAACACTCCTGTAAGTTAATCATTCAGTTAATAGTATTTGTGAAGTATTAATCGAATCTTCCAAAACATGAATACTTAGCTATTAACATTAAAACAACTTCTGCTACTGTCTATAATTTCAACGATTACATTTTTTTTTATTCGGAGGTCATTGCGGCTCTTAAATAACATATTACTTTTATCTACGATTAACTTTATACATATATTGTTATAAATCACATCTTAATAGTTGAGATGGAATAATGTAGAAAATTTGATCAGTACTTTGATTAGAAACCTAGAATAATAATATTGTGAAGGTTAAAAGTTATGTCATTATCATAAATCAGTCCACACTACACTAAAAAAACGAACTAGTTGTGTCGATTCAATTTTATAATCTCTCTAAATTCATTGTGTGTTTTACAGTTATCATGAACTTACAATTAACGGTTTCGATATTTTATTATTACTATTTAAATAGAGTTAAATTACAATCAAATTAGAAAAACGAGTTAACTGATACTTACAATATATTTTAAGGTCTTGAGTCATAAAATTCATCAAAAAAATGTCGTAATGTACAACAACACTATATCTCATTACAATCGAATGCCGTTTTAGAACCATAAAATAATCGATTAGTAATATTTGATTATACAAACAGAGATTAAACTTGAGTAACACAGAAATTAAATAGAAAAATGAAACAGTCGCCAGTGCACTATGACGTCCACTAGAAGTTATGTTTACCAGTAAAAGTAATAGATAAAATTAATGAAAATCACTTATCATTTTTTTTTATATGCACTTTGCTAATGACCAATGCTATCTCTACTTGCGAATTCAAACAAAAAATTTTTAGTGTGGTTAAATTATGAACATAGTTCTATCATTGAGCTCACTTTGCATTGTGTGTAATCACGTATTTACTTAGTAAATGTTAAATGTTTTTACTTTATTAATGGCTCTTTTATTCCTTTTAACAATTAGGTTAAATGTAAACGTCGTACCTTAAGTTTGTTTTGTAAAGTAATGTGTTTAGGCGAAATTACGGAAACGTTATCAAATTGTCAAGGTTTACCAAATATTACCTAATATTTTTTGGCTAAGTAATTTGTAAAAAAATAAAAAATAGAAAGAGAAAAAATAATTACATTTACACAAAAGCTAACATTAAGCTTATCCATAAAAAAAAAATATTGTTGAACTTTGTCTTGGGATTTAAATTATCCATACTATCAGGGTACACATGATACAGTTTCTACTTTCTATTTACACAACTGTAAAATAAATACACAAAGTATGAGTTTCCAGACAAACAATATACAAAGATTTTTTAATGTCATAATTTCAATCCAATGGCATATATGAATTATTTAAAGACTACAATGAATTTTTTTTAATAGATAATTTTTCAAATTCTTCAAATTAATTTATTTTTTAAATTTAAATTTACGTTCATAATTTTTTATACAGGTGTTCAATAAGTAATGAAACGGGTAAATTGATAAAAACAATGAGAACAATAGAAACCCGTTTCTTTACCTAATGAACATTCTATATAAGTTTTTTTCATTTTTGTTAAAACAACAATTATTTTAATTATTTCTTGTAACTTAAATTTCAATGCAAATAATTATTTGTATTATCCGTTTTTTGCTCTGTACAAAAATATGTATATTAGCTTTACAGTTGAACTTACTAAATTTAGTTCGTGATTAAGACCGCATTGTTAAGATTATAAAACAAATTGCATTTAATCAGAGAAATTGTTTTCATTTAACTGAATTTTTGTTAAACACGATATTTAAAGATAATACTGTTAATAAATTTATAAATAGGTAACTTATTCTATAATCATACGAAAGGCTGTGTACAATAATCAATCTAGTAAGACAATATAAATAATTGGAAAGCATTGAATTGATACCAATTTTCCTTTGTTATAGGTAGCTAATTTATAATTTAGATAAATAGGAATAAAAAATAAAAATAAATGATAACATAATAAGTTAGTGATTATTTTTAACATCTAAAATGTTTTATACTGAAGTCTCCTTTATTCGTGACGTATTCTTAGTAATCAATTAAACTTAGCAAAAATCATATGAATATTATTTTAGTCATTTTCAAACTAAAAATTTTTACGTCCTATCTAACTAATGATCAGAGAAAGTTGAACAAAATTTCATAATCACCATGGCAGGCAACTAGACAGAGATCAATAAAATCAAATCCAAATACTTTGAGAAAAAAAATTAATTGCAAATAATAAATTTGTTTATTCAGTCGTTTCTACCACAGAAATCTAAAAATAATAATCTATTCAATTAAAAAAACATATATATATATATAAGATGGAATAGATCTAATTGACAACTTTTATAACTTATGATAAAATTAAAATTTTTCTGTAATATTTTTTTTAAACAATTTTTACATAATTTTAATAATAAAAAAATAATTTTTTTAAAATTTGAAAATAGCCGTTTTTCAGATCTTTACTTACAAAAAATGCTGATGAGTTGACGAGTTAACTTTAGGATAAGTACATATCAATTATTACTTACAGGTATTTTAATAAACCGAGTGAGTATGTAGCGCGGGTGGATAGAGTTTGTATTGGTGTATATTTTTAACGCATACTCCACCTGTGCTATATACTCGTTACATGTTTTATGTATTAAAATTCTTATAAGCCAATAAGTACTTATCTAAAAGTTATTATCAACCTAAAGATGTTGTTGTCTTTTGTAAGGAAAGCTATAAAAATGGCTATTTTGATATTTTCAAAAAAAATAAAAAGTTATAAGAGTTGTAAGTTAGATCTGTTCCACTTGTATATTCTTAGGATTAAAAACAAATAAAAGTTACTAAAAGTGTATAAAAATAATTGAAATTGTAATGAAAAATTAGATAAACAAATAACTTTTTAAAGGAATTACATTTTTTACTGCAGGCATAGTTACAAACTAGGACAATTCGGGCGCCATCGATTTGGTACAATCCGTTCAATCAGATGACATTAGGGCGCCATAAAAGTAACGCGACGGAGTTTCAAGGAAAATCAATTAAAGTATGTTGTTTTTAGAAAGAGCCGAGAAGGACAAATTTATGAAAATTAATTTGAAATGCATAAAGGAAAATAATACCTTTTAATTAAAAAATCAATATAATAGATATATTATTTCTTTTGATCGTATTTCATGATTTATGTGCAAATTTAACGTTAAATATTATTATTTTTTTTAAATTAAATTTGTTAAAATCATGTAAGATTTAAAAATATTTTAAATTGGTCTTTTATAATAGTCAATAAATATATTATTTAATTAAATCAATAGAAGTTCAATAAAAATATCAATTATTTAGTGTAATGAAGTGAAAACAAATAATGTATACTCCAGTAAATAATAATATATTCATAAATATAAATAAACATGAAACTTAAGATATTGGTGATAAGTTAAAATCCTAAAATCAATAATGTTAAATTCAAATACTCTACTATGTAGTTAAGGTTATATGTTAATTGAAGACGGATATTCTTTCATATTGAAGTATAATATACTACAATATGATAAAATTGAATACAAATACCATACATTCAATAATATTGTATTCAATTGATTTCAAGATAAAAAGTCTATATCAATTTTATAAGCAATTTTTAAAAATATTAAAATTTTTATTGCATGCGAATTTTTGCCCATTGAATTATAGCCATATGGTTTAATTTTTTAAATAATAGTTAAATATCAGAACTATGATTTTTATAAAGCTGAACACTAATTAGTATGAAAGTTACTATTTAAGTAACTTTTTAATTTAACTAGTTAGTTTTAATAAATTACTAACTTAAAAAGATTAATTGAATGTGTAAAATAATCCTAATTTAACTTGTTAAAAATAAAAACTAGTTATGATGTATTAATAATTAATATAAGCAAAACGGTCCTACAGGTCTAAGTACATAGACAGTTCTTGTCCACCTCATTAACAACTAATAATTAATATTGAGTATTTTTAGGAACGTTGTGATAATATCGATTGTTTCTTTCAATATGACTACTTTTTTGTATCGATATTAGTACTTACTTTTTATAGGTAACATATCAAAACATTATCAATTAAATGTACAAATGTTACAAGAAATAAATTTTTTAAAAATTGTTGACCGCGAATTTTTTTTTTTTTTTATAAAAATATAATATTATTAGGTTTTACTATGTCAAAAGATCACNTCTGTTACCACTTTTTCTCAGCTCTCACCGAACGGATTTCTTTCAACGATACGTCAAAAGATCACAAATCGTATCTAGTCGAAGACATTACCCTTCAAAATTGAAAAAATTTCCCTCGTTCCCCGTAAATGGGGGAAACCTCCAAAAAAATTACAAATTTAAAAATCGCTAATTTTCGAAATTTTTTCAATTTTTTTAAATAAAAACTGCCGTAACTTTTTCAAAAATGAACATGTCAATATAATTTTTTTTTATATAGATGCTTGATGTCTTTACCTATCATTTAGTTTTTTTTTTTATAAATTTGACCCTTTATCTGCCCACAGGGGGGGATTTAAAATGACAACTTTTTCACAAAAAATTAACTTTTTCAACTTAACTTTTGAAAATGTTCCGGAAGGTCTGACACTTTTATATATATCTTAAATTAAAGCTAATGTAATATACTTTAATTTGAAAAAAAAAAAATTTCACCTCTGGACTTGTCTTCATGGTGAAAACGGCTACCGAATGCTATTTTTGTGTGAATATTTTCGATTTTATAATTTACATTTTTTACTTGAAAGTGCAATAACTTTTTGAAAAATGTATGGATCAATACAATTTTTTCATGAGAAATAATATTTTTTAATAATCCCTTTTTCATTCGACATACTTTATCTTAATCAAGATATTAATAAGGAACTAGCAGATCATGTAGCTTTTGGAATAATACACCAATTTTTTTAAAATTAAACACTATCTAAAGATTTGCATCGAAGCGTTTATTTTTGATAGTGATTTTAATCACTGTCAGATATCATTATACTTGATCCAACTATGCTGCAAACCCCCTGTGCTGGGATTTTTATTATATTAAAATTAATACTTCAGATGTTTCACAAAGTTAGTTTTTTCATATTTCTTCTGCAGCAAATTTGGTTAAAACAATTATAACAGCCGGATTAAATGTAGTATCCTTTTTATTAATTATAATAATTATTAATGATAATTATCATTCTTAACACATTGAAGTTTCCTAAAAAACGATTTACTGTATTCTGACAAAGTCAAAATTATAATAAAAATATTTATAAAAGTAAAAATTCATATTTCATTATTATCTATAAATATTTAGTCAATAAACAAGTTAGCTTGGTTGTGTAAAATTTAATTAAAAAATGAATAAACATCTTCAACTTACGAAAAAAAAAATAACACTAATTAAGTATTTTAATTTAAAATAATTTTATCAAAAGCATATTTAGGGGTAGCGCGAAAGTGGACATTGTCAAATTTTATGTGAAATGTCTTATTAGTATGTTACTTTATTTTTTCAACATATCAATTAATTATAATTTTTTTGTGTGATATTTTTAGGCACATACAAATGATTTTATGCCCAGAAATTACATATCAAATTGAAATAGTTTAATTTTTTTACATGTATTTGAAACCATTTATATTAATTATTAATTAAAAATAATATATTATAATTTTATTCACCAAAATATTTTAATTAAAAGAATGTATAAGCAACATAATGAAATAATTCTATGTAACATTGCATTGAATTTGAGATAATAGTTGATAAAGTAAAATTAACTATATGATAAACTAACAACTAGCAGTTAAGTTTAAATTTCTTAATTTAATTGTCAATTAAGTTTTCAAAAAGGCACATAAATTTACGTTAAACTTATTAATTAGTGAATTAATTAAATATTGAACTTATAATAATGGAATTGTAGTAAACTTTATGTTATTAATTAAAGAAATAACAAGAACAGCACTTAATCATAAATAAATTAGAAAATTGCATAACTCCATGAGAAATACTAAAAAATATTTATATAGCACAATCATTTTTTTAACAAATTAATATCTAGAAGGTTTAAACGTCATCTTAATTAATATAAATGAAATAACACTTTTTAGTATAACAGATTAACAGAATATTATTATTTTTAAATGATCTTATTATAGTGGACTTTATTCTTGAATGATTATTAACGATTTGATGCATATCAGCGTATTCAAAATTACAGCATAGTCACATTGCGCTTGAATAAAAAAGATACATTTTATTTTAATTTACGCTAAGCTTTAACTAAATGTTCAATCCTTGTGCTCCGATCATAAATTAACATATTGATTAGACTTAGTTAAAATCTGAATTAATAAAAGTTATTTTAAGTCGTGCTGAGAGTATTATTAAAATTTTTTATTACCATCAGCATTAGCATATAGTTTAATTGTATTATTCGACATTGCAACAGCAGAGTGCTCGTGTCCGGTACAATGTTATAATTTAAATCATGTTAATTTATGTTCCGGATAGGATAAAAAGTTTTGTAAATTTCATGGACTTTTAATTATTTCAATATTTAAGGACAGAGAAAAAGATATGTGACTATGATTCCAAAACTATTCACGTAATGCAGGAAGTCTTCCAAAACAATGCCAACTCTAATGGCCTTATGTCCGTTCTCACGCCTCAACACAATATATGGATAAATTATGATATCTTTAGTTGTTGTAAACATAGAATTAAGTATTGACAAAATTAAATATTACATAAATTAACATTTAACACATTCTAGACACGAAGCTACAATACTAATCTCTATTGTTGAAATAATTTATGTTTGTACCTATTTTTTCTCATCAAACGATTTCTCGACAACATCAAGCAAAAAACACAAAAGATCAAAGCACAAACAATAGTATTTAATTTTACAGGAACAACGTTATCCTTAACGTTGTTTAGGCAAATATTAATTTGTAGTATATTAAAATCAACTATTATAACATTTATACTAAAGACATTTATCATTATTTTTAATGACAAATTCAAATATTTCGAAAATCTTAGGAAATTTAGGTAAAGAACAATTACTCTTAATTGCATAATAATGTAGTTGTAGATAAAAAAGTTATAATTTGCGGTATGGTAATTTTGAAGGATTATTTTAGGCGCTTTTTCCGGTTTGTAATAAAATGCTTTTAGACGGTTTTCTTTTCTGTGTAAACATAACTAGTTGTGAGTCATGACGTCGTGGAGCAAATTTTCGATTATATTACGGTGACAGAACATTATAATTTAAACTTAGTGTAATTTTAATAATTAACGTCATTAATGAACTCGAAACCGCTATAACTAAACTATCGGCTACGTCTTAATGCCAGACGGTAAAATAAATGTCAAAGTTCAGCTCGGAATATTCAAGTATTGAGATGAAGTAATAAAAAATACACATCCATATTACAACATGTTTATGGTTAGAACAACAATATATGTAATCATTTTTAAGGATAAATTCTATAACAATACACTTTGTTTTAGGACTACTAAGAATCCTTAGCTATTGCGACGTAGCCTTCGAAAATCTTTATACCAACCGTAGACACGGATTTTTAAATGAGGACTCACAAAATATTTCACGATTACCAAACCAAGTGCATACTAATTTAAGGTATCGAAGTTAGAAAAGTACTATTTGTGTTGTTGCATACTTGATTTCG